GTACAATCTTCATTTGATTCACCAACTTCATCATTCATATTGTTCTCCAAACTTGAACCATCATTATCATCAATATCATCTGGATCCAAAACAAATGGAACTTCATTCAATTCAAAAAAGTTTTCAATAACCACAAATACTTGATGATTTGGAACTATTGGTTCTTCATTTATTGATTATCCTCCACCTCCTCTTCTTCCACTTCTTCTAAATCTTCCTCCTCCTCTTGATCATCTAATGTTTCTTCAACTAAAGATTTTAATTCTAAAGCACTGATGTTTTCACCTGGATATTTTAATTCTTTATTGATTGTTGAAAGATAATATGATCTTATCTTTGCCATACTTTCTATTTTTGAGATGGTCAAACGTAAACGCCTTTTGCCATATATCCAACCAAGGGTAGAAAAAGTTCTTTCACATGCAGCGCTGTTTGGAGTGATATCATGAATTAAAATTGCCAATTTTTGTAAACAATCATGGGTAGTATCTACAGAATTCCACCAGATTTTAGGTGTATCACTTGAAAAAACATACATCTCATTATATGGAGGTTTGTATAATTTATAAAGTCGCATTTGTGATAATAAAATTTCTAATGATGCTTTGTTGTTACCAAACTTCTGCCAAATCTCACTTGCTGCTTTAACCACAATTTGATATTTTCCCTTTTTGATGCCTGCATCTATTATTACAAATAAAAAAATTAAAGAATTAAAAATTAAACTAATCAATCTCTTAATGATATATATATATAAAGAAAATTAACCTCTATAAGCAGGGTCCAAGAAATATGCCAGTATATATGGACCAATCTCAAACTCATCCCACCTTTTATTAAAGGCATTGATGGCATGTTGTTGGAGTCCAGTCATATCATTATTGTTCATATTTTTTAATTTGTAAGATAGGCGAATTATTTGGACAAAAACATCTGCAAGTGTTGTGTTATCAGCATAATGGACACTCATTTTGTGCAACAGTCATTTGTATAATAGGCAGGCGGTTACACAGAGCCCGTTGCTTCTGAAACTTCACTAGAATATAGCTGTAGCCTCTCTAAGTCCAGATCATCAGCAAGATCAAAATTATCTCACACTTTTATAATCAAACTTTTGCAAGAACTTTCACCATAACATATGTTATGTTGATCATTTTTTTGTGATCTGCAACAATGTCCACTATGCTTGTGTTATCTCCTTCAGTTAATTTTATTGCATTTTTAATAGGTAGTAATATTTGTGATAATGTCATTACTTCATCAAAAAAACCACGCCTTCTTAAAATTTTTTTAACAGATTTACTAGTAATCTCATTACTATGATTTCTAACAATCTAATATTATTATTAAATATTAATGTAAATAGCAAATTATTTATAATTTGATACATAATAATTTAATTAAATAAAAAAAAAACCTCATTAAGTGCAAATTGCATTCTTAAAATTGAATTTGTTGATTCATATATTGAAGTCCATCTAGTTTTAACAAATGGTTGGAGTCCTCCACCTCTAATTGAAAAAGTTTCTGCTGCATTTGATAAAAGACTATTACAAATGTGGGATTTTTGAAATATTTAATAATTTTTGAACATTCTGATAATAAATTAGATGCCCTTTCATATTCTAATATTTGTAAAAATATAAACATTAAAAAAAAATAAAAGATTTTTTACTAATAAAAATTTAAAAATACCTACCTATTATAGATTTTGTAATGAGATTAACAAAATGAGCAATACATCGAATATTGATGATTTTGGATATTCTTTTGATATTAATTCTCGAGCTAGTTTTATATTTGCAGCATTATCAGTTACAACAGCACCAAATTTTTTTACTCCAATTTTAGTTAAAACAGTTTTTATTTCAGCAGCTAAAAATTGACCAGTATGATGTGTTTCAGAATAATCCTGAAGACAATATAAATATTGTTTATGATCAGGAGTTAAAACTAAAAAATTATAAATAGAAAGAGAATTAGGTGAAGTCCATCCATCTAGAGCTAATATATATGTTATATATTAATTAGTAATAAAATAACATTACTTAAACAATATTTGTAAAAATAAATAAGTATTTACCAAGTGTTAAATTTTCTGCATTACTTAATTCCTGATCAATTTTTAGGTTAACTTTTGATATTCCTTACTTAATAATTGTCCAGCTAATGTTTGTCGTGATGGAGGATGATAATTTGCTTGTAGTTGATAAAGCAGTTCTCGAAAAAAAAGATTATCAATTACACTGAATGGAATCCCACAACAAACAAATGCTCTCACAAGAGCAATGTTAATGGCTTCAATTTTTCCTTCTGATAATTCTTTATTTTCATAAAAGTCATCTATTGTTTTTTGATCAAATTTTATTTTTATTTGAATTATTTGATTGAAATGACATTCTAGAATTTCTGGAACTTGTTGATGTAATATCTTCAGCCAAATTTTCTGTTGATAAAACTTCAAGATAAAATCTTTGAATCATATCAGGACATGCTGGACAATTATTGGCTAAATGAGCTTGTAATGATTGTACATAGGCTCTGCCCCAGCGTTGTTTGCAAAAGTTGCACTCTGCAGAGTAATTCCCATGTGAATTAAGTGGGGTTTTAATAAAATATTCCCACACTTCATTTTGCCTTTGTCCTGCTGTTTTTTTTGTTGACATATATATTCAAATAATAATTTTCCTCTTATAAATATTGATATTAATGTTCTTAGTATGTTCTTATTAATGTTCTTGGTATGTTCTTATTAATGTTCTTAGTATGTTCTTATTATTGTTCTTAGTATGTTCTTATTAATGTTTTTATGTTCTTGTTAAAATTTGAACTAAAAATAAAAATTAATAGCTAAAAAAAAAATATTTAGTTACTCTTAGTGAGAAGGGTGAAAATTGATGGTATAAATAATAATAAAACAGCCTAAAGGCCTAAAATAATGATATTAATTTCAATAATTTCAAAAAAAAAAAAATATATTATTATTATTAATTATTATATTAATTTCAAAATAAAAATTTTAATTTTCTGTATTATTTATAAACTATCTTAAATTCTTATATTATTGTTCTTATTTCATTAAAGTTTGTTATATTAATGAGAAGAAGATGAATGAACATATATATTATAAAATCTTTTGGAAAAAAAAATATATATATATTATTATTATATATATAAATATGGAATTTCAGTGTTTTGGCATTCTATATATGGAATTTAGGCACTTCCATTTCTATATATGGAATTTCGGCATTTTGGCACATTTTGGCATTTTCAATATCAGCATTTTGGAAAAATATCGGAATGCACATTTCAAATCCGAAATATTCGGAAATTTAAAAACAATTTCGGCTAACATCCTTAGTTACAACCATGTGAATACAACTTGTCTTTCAACACAACCAAATTCACTAGTCAACACTACTGATACCAATAAGAATACAAAATGTAAGAATGAGGAAGGTAACAACTCAAAGAAGAAATTATGCAAATGTGGAGCCACTATCCATAGTCATATATCATGTTCAAAATGTCCTTTGAACAAGGAGTGGCAGGCAAAGCAAGATACCAACAATATCAAATATAAAGTTTCATGCATAAAGAAAAAACTTAACCAATTTTTAAAAAAAGTAATCAATTGCTTCCAATTGTAAAATCTGCAATTTTATGTGTCAAAGATATAACCTATGAAGGTGCCAAAATTCTAGAATTGTTAATCCTTGATCATTTCAATGATCACAACTTGCAATGATTACCTCAAATTCACTCCCAATTTGTTTGTAGAATATTCTAATCAACAACAACAACGCTTCATAGTAATGGTACTCTGTTGAATACCAGATGTGACCTCATAAACAATATTTGTAATGAATATGCAATCCAATGGCTAATGGACATTAAAAAAGTAAAATTTTAGGAACTGTATCATATAGTCTTATTTTAAACTTACTATTTGATCCTAACAATATAGGAGGCTTGGTCAAATACTAAGCCTAGCAGCACATTCATATATGGGGCATGGTCAATGGGAAAGAGGTAATAGGATTTTTATTCATGAATATCATGAAAATCATTAAGGGGGTTACACACTATTAAAACAGAAAAAAATCCCTTAAAAACATGAGTTGATCACTTGATTTTAATAGTGTGTGACACTGTATGACCCCCCTATGATATTCATGAATACAAACCCTAAGGGGTAAACGTCAAAATCACGATTTTGAAAAAATCGAAAAAAAGATCTGCATCTCAAATAATTTACTACCATTTTTCAAAGCTTTAACAAAAAATACCTCAAAATTTTATTAAGCGAAATGGGTATTGTTCCTTGCAATGAGTTACATATATATGTGGCATTGACTCAAAATCATGATTTTGACGTTTACCCCTTTTCTATTGACCATGCCCCATATAAGGTTGCGGGAGAAACTCCTCCAGAAATCAATCGACAGAGTTTCGACAGGTTACACATTAACTGTTTATTAGAGTTTCGGCAGAGTTTCGCATTTGGGGTTTTTGCTAATCATCAGAGTTTTGACAGGTTACACATTAATTGTTCATTAGAGTTTCGACAGAGTTTCGACAGTCATTAAGAGGTTTCGCCCACAACCTTAGCCCCATATAGTAAACTGCCATAATTTTATATTGAAAATCATGGATAAAATATAAACTGTGTTCTTCACAATGTTAAAATAAACCAAATCACAAATCATCTTTGGTATTTACTCACCACACACCATCAAGGCCTGGCAACTATCCCACAATCAACATTAAAGCACCACCACCTACCTATTTATTCTGCTATTTGTATCCATCAAATATTCAACGAAATCTGCCAGGTAGTTGGAGGTCTTTTTATTACAAAAGAATAAATGAGTAATGAACGATCATGTGTTTGTTAGCTTGCCCCTCTTTACCATATTCTTCAATGCTTTGAGAAGCATCCTCTGTTTGATCTGGTGAGTTTTTTTTAATAATTTTTTTTACATTTATTTTTAAAAATGATAGTATTTTCATTTTTGATATTAACCTTGTATCACTGCCATCATCATTCATTCATCATTCATTCATTTGTTTGTTCATTTGTTCATTCATTCATAGGTTCCTCAATTTTCCTTCACTACCTGTCATATACCAATTGATACAGATGCTCTATATGACATTATTTCTGAAGCTGGTCTCAATAATGGTATGGACAAGATGCAATTTGGTGATGAAGCATTAGTTCAATGGTCACGTTTTTTCAAAGTTGAACAACTTGGTGATAATTTTGGCTGCTATATTGAAACAGATGGGGTTTCTGTTAATATAAATATAAAAAATCCAATTCATCATAATAATAATAATGACAATGACAACAGCAATAAAAATTTTTGGAATTTAGATCTAACTGGGAAAAAGGTTGTTGGTTTAGACCCAGAAAGTAGTGATGTTAGCCGGTAGAAAAACCTTAGCCGGCTTAGCCGGCTAATAATCTGCATACATAATTTCTAAATTTGGTAATATATTTCCGCGTTATCTTCTGGTTATGGAAATAAAATTACCAAATTAGGTAATAAACGGCTTAGCCGGCTAAGAACTTGAATAAATTTTTTATCTAATAATTTAGTAGACAAATAACATACTAATACTTTGTATGAA